TAACCTTGCACATGCACTGTGTTGGACAGAGGAACAGATTCCATGAAGCCTACCCAGTCAATGAATATAAAGACATAACCTCTTTCTTCCCACCTCCCTTTCCTTTTTCAGTGCCACTGCAGAGATTGCCACCTAGAATAGACTTGAAAAAAAAAAAGATTTTAATCTAACATCTTCTAAGTTTAGGTAATAAGCAAATAGCATAGCCATTAATAATGCTTTTAAGAAGAATGGATGCCAAAAGTTGTGAAACCTTGCCTGGTAGATAAATGGTACCTTTCTCAGCCATCTGTCTTACAAATGATCCTATATATACAGCTATTATTTCACTCAGACACTGGAAGCTTTGCAATTGTTCACGGCCTCAGTGAAGAGTAATACCTGTCATGCAGTTTCATTGCTCTGACTTTTAACAGACCTGTTTTCAGCTTGTCTCAAATACCGAACAAGTGCACATGGAGAAGCACCAGAAAAGAACAGGTAAGATAAAAGACCAAGGGCACTCACACTTCTATGTAGGTTTAAAACACCTCAGTACTGCCCTGAAGAAAATTGCTGCTAAAATTGCAAATGGTTCTTTATCCATTTGTGAGAAAATACTAAACAGCCTGCTGCTTTTGGCTGGTAAAATTTTCTTCATAGTAGCAAGTAAGGGCTGTGTTTTAAATCTGTGCTGGAAAGAGTTGATAATTGAGGGATGTTTTAGTTATTGCTGAGCAGGCCTTGCACCTTGTCAAGGCCTTTTCTGCTTCTTGCACCACCCTCAGAGAGGTTGAGGTTAAACAATGAACAGGGAAGGGACACAAGCAGGATACCTGACCCCAGCTGACCAGAGGGATAATCCTGCATCATGCAGTTTTGTGCTCAGCGTATAAAGCTGGGGTGAGAAGGAAGTGGGGGGAAGACACACACTGGGAGTGATGGCAGTGTCTTCCCAAGTAAGGGGTACTGTTTTTCCTCTTCCCTGGGACTCTCTCGGAAGTTATCTCATCACTCCTCTGACTTTCTTACCTGGTGATGCAGAAGTCTCCAATCTGTCCCTCATCTTGCACAACCTCCCATCAGGTTCAGGCACTGATTGGCAGCATGAACAGTGCTTACACTTCCTTAATCCTAAAAAGTAATAGTGTGACACTTTTGACTAGTCTCTTACAATCCTCAAATAAATGCAGCAATCTACTGTTAAATCTAATAGCCTTATCTTTTATGTTTCCTTATACTATGTTTTCTCATAGAAACAAGTAAGTGTTTCCAAACACTATTTTTCATAAAACCAGTGAAAGTTTTGGAAAGGATTCTCATTAAAATCTTAATACTTCTGACAAGTAAAGCTGTTTTCTGCAGGAGTCCTAGTTCCAGGATCATGCCAAAGCAAAGACAGCTTTCCTATGTGTATTCTTTCTGAAATAGGAAAAAACCCCAACTGGTTTGGCTGCAGACCAGCATGATGATTATTGTTAGTTGCACATGTTGAAGAATTAGTTTTCAATACAGTATGAAACACCATCAATGTTTTATCATTAATTTTTTATTTCTTTCATTTTCTTTCTCGTCTCTCCACGAAAAAATACTTGATGCAAATGAAAACTGTTCCCCTCTTTAGCACCAACAGAATTTCAACACAATACAGGCTTCAAGTCCTCTGAGTAAGTTATCACCCTTTTAGCTACCAGAAACCTCTGAAACTGTTTGAAATATCAATTCGTATTTTGTTAGATATCTATTTTCTACACTTCTAAAGCCACCCGACTTGTCTAACTAACGAGGTTACTTTTCTACTCTGGATACTGGGCCTGAACACTGAAGTTGACCACTTCCATGGAAGACTAACTTTGAAACAAGAGGAAGCCATTTTTAATCTGAGACATTGCAATCCTTTGTGAGTAGTGGACAGCACTCCTGCCAAGACTTGTAGCTGAAGAACAATTTTCTCAGTCAAATATTATCCCTTCAGGAACATACTAACATATCATTCACTTAGGAAACCTAACATACTGAATCAGCAAACATCCATGCTTCAGCTTCTTCCATAAATCAAAGATGACAAACAAAGCCCGATCATATTTTCCTTAATTTATACACAGCAACAAATAAGGCTGATGAATTATAAAACTCGTAACATCAATTTCAAAAATGACATGGTGAAATTGATCTAAAAGAATGTTCAAAAATGAACTGAACATTTTGTCTTTCTATCCTATAGGATAAACAAACAATAACAATAGAAAACTACTGAAAGAGTTATGTTCAATCTACAACAAAATGCTGTTTAGATCAGATTAGCTTCTGATCCACCAGAGATCTATTTCTTTTACAAAGAGGTTCACACAGGTTGGGCATTGGGAATGTATGGTATTCAACATCTATGGATAACATGAATTCAAGCAAAACTTACCTAGTAACTAGAGTAATTGAACAGTTGACAGTACTTGCCAGCAAGAAATTTTTGAGACTACAATCACAGGGATCACATTTAAACCTGAAAAGAGAGATGGCAGAAAAGGCAGTTCGTATTGGGTATCGTTCTTGTGCAAGTTCTTGTGCAAGTAGACCTCATTTGAATCCAAGGGATTGCTTCGCTGTGTGTAGAAGAATTCTACCTTTATAGTTTTACTCTTATAGGGTAATTAAAATTGTTTATGCTTTGATTAAAAAATTATCAATAAAATTAGATATCTAAAAGAAGATATTAACAACTTGAGAATAACCATTTCATAGGAATGCAAAGTAAATTACCACGATTCTTTTTAACCTACACAGCCTTTAGGTAAGGTGCTAATTTCAACCTATTGCAATTATTTTTTGGAATCTGCTTAGACAGGAAATGCTTCAACCTAGTTTCCACTACTTCTAATTACAGTACTCTAGAGAAATTTTTTATCACTATAGCAGAAAATAACTTTTATTCAGTTTTGCTAAGATTCAATATAATTTTGCTAGATTTACTATTCAATAATTCAATGTAATTTTGCTAGAAATACAAAAACCTAACTCAAGAACAATTGATATTTTGAATAGAGAAATAATCCAAACACAGTTTTCATCACAGTAAAGTATTTAATGACAAAAATCAGGGTTTCCAGTAGTGAGCCAAGAGAGCAGGTCCCACTTTTTTTTTTTCTCTCCCCAGAATGGCACAAAATAATTTCTACACCTTTGAGAACTTCCAAGGAATGGGTTACAATAGATATCAGCAAGTATTACAATTCTGGCAAATCATGGCAAAACCTACCTACCTTTAAGATCAGTTTTATGAGCACACATTTTTGTTAATATTTCACATAATACACAACTTTTGCTAGACACAAAAGTAACCTTTTAAGACAGAGTTTGTGGTACACCAGTCAAGTCTAACAATACATTATTTTTATTCTGTTCAGAACTTTAAAAAGATAAAGAAACTAATATTGTTACAATTTACAAATACATTCTTTCATATGAAACATTAACCTGAATTATAGTATATGTTATGTACATGACTATCTAATAATACTAGGTTCTATACACTACAAGCTAAGTTCCAGAAGGAAATTGCAATGCTCTAAGATTTACCTTTGGATAAACATTTATACACCTTGATTTTTTTTTTTTTCCTAAAAACTACTAAACCTTGTAGTTTAATGAACAGAAAGAACAAAGTAAACAGACAAACCACTTTTCCTTCATTCAGAAGCCTTAGGTTTACCTAAAGTTCCCATAGTAAATGGCTTTTGATGGTTGGATTAAAGTCCTGAGTTATGATAAAAACAACACACTTAACTGGAAGATACAAAACAACCCAAAATGCTGAAAAACTCAGGTGGGACTAAAGCAATGTTTTAGTACAGTTCAGCTCACAAGAGGTCTGGAACTTAGCAGTGCAATTATGATCTTGTCCTGTCCAGCTGACATTTATGTAAACATTTGAAAATATATGCCTTTTTATCTAAATTTAGACAACTAATTATTTTCAGGTTTATATGACCTGGGTTTTAGACATTTATTCTAATTATTTGAAAGCTTAGAGGAATGGCTTCATGACAACAGCCCAGAATCTACTTCCGTCTCTCAAGAGAAAGACTTGTGAGGTTAGCAGCAGAATATAGTTTTAAAAGAGTGGAAAATATGACATGAAGATAGCTACGTGGTCAAAAACGTACTCCCTGACTGATTTATAATCCATCTTTAAAAAAAAATATAGCCTAACATTTTGTATCTAGCAGAAGTTTAATTTCTGTTTAAAAAACAGATACTGTTTTCCTGGTTAATTGCAGAAATACCCACTCATTACAATAGCATTCAGACATTTCCAGGGCAAGCATTACTTACACAAAGCTCAGTGGAGTGTTCAGAACTTGTGTTGTTAATGAACCTGTTCTGATTTATAACAGAAGTGGCTAAATTCCCTTTCAGTAGGTGTTAGATTTGGTAACTGTTGGAACTGATGCTAAATAGAGCTAAATGATCCTATGGTACTACACAAACGACCCATTCTCTCAATTCCCAATGTGAAATTAAATAAAAAGCTTCATACACAATTGTTTAAATTACAGGAAAAAAAAACCAAAACCAAAACAGATGTTAAGTTTGAATGCAATCAGCTAACTAGACAGTGTCCTTATTTCAAATAAGAATACTTTCCTAATGGCAAGCATCTTTTTATGAAATGGGCATTTCCATGAAATTTTCAGTTATTTCAGCTTGCAGTAAGTAAAATATTCTCAATTACTACAGTAGCTTTTATCTCTCTTACAAGCACTGCTCTGAGGATTTTAGACTGCTGTGTCATTAATAATGCAAAAATCATATTCTACAATGAATACAGTACATTCACATAATGCCAGCTTTTCTCTGGTAAGATGAGGGCAGAAATAAAGAGCAGGCATTTTCAGAAGATGAAGGCTGTACCTTCTGCAAGGATCTGTTTTCTAGCTTACTGGTTTAAAAAAAGAAAAAAACATTTTTCTCTTTTTTTTTTTCCCTTTTCATTCTTGTAGCATATTAGACCATCATAGGTTTAAAAAAAGAAAAAAACATTTTTCTCTTTTTTTTTCCCCTTTTCATTCTTGTAGCCTATTAGACCATCATGAAAGTGTGAAGAAAAAAGGTAACCTACTTATTTTTGTAAGGGAAATACAGTGCATCTATTGCATGTAATGAATACAGATGTAGTAGAGACATCCTTCCAGTGATAACATATTGAAAGCTGAGACTCAAACTAGAAGTTGATTCTAGTGTACCAAGACATGCTTTTTTGAAAGCCTCTATATTAAAAAAATCAGACAACTTGCTAACAGAGAAGTCATTAAAATCAGACACATTTCTGAAGTGTTCAAAAAACTGTAGAATTTATGAAAAACAGATGACTTGAAAATAGTGCACTCTCATCTTCCCAGGCCTTTGCATTCTCATGGGACTTTAGCCATACAATCACAGGTAAAAAGAAATGCTATTTTATATCAAGATTGCTGAATTGTAGATTGTGTTTGAGGCACAGCTATGTGCGTATAGATGTAAAAATTACTTTTTTCCTCTATTTTGAAACCTCAAGCATACATTCTCTAGGTTTCAGCATACTATTCAAATAATCAGTCTGAAAGTGAAAATAGGAACATGTAAAATGCTGATATGAATGAAATTCAGATATGCACTTCTGAATGCTGGTGCACATACAACACTTCCTACATTAGAAGAAACCATTTTTTCTGTTTCCCAGGACAAAGCTGTTTGTCCTCCGCTATAGCTACAACCCTAGATGTTTAATTCTAACATTCATTCACATTCTGCTGATGCTACATTAAATGAAGAAAATTATACCCCTTCTTTGGATTTTATTTCCACATACATGTCCACCATCAGTTCAATCTTTCTTTTTGTACAACCATGGAAGAATATTACTATTTTAATCCTGATCTGCTTGTCATTTGGTCCTTTTTCAATGTCTGCTTTCACTCCTGTAACAACTGAAATACAGGTAGAAAGTACCGCAGGACTGTGTAGCAATATTAAAAAAGAGGAACAGAAAGAAGTCAGAAAAGTAGAAACGCAACACTTTTTCCTGCACAGAAACTGAAAGAATGCATCTCCACTGAATGGGAAGGAAAAAGCACACAGAAGACTGAATCTCCTGTAAAAGTTGCTGATTCGAGCCTTTTCAGCTTCTCTTGAGAAGATTTCAACTTTGGGCAGTATCTCAGCATTTGTGCTTCATGGCAAGCTGAAAAAGAAATAAAAAAATTAATTAAAGAGATATCACTGAGAATGACAGCTGTATCAACCTAATATGGCTAGTATGGATAAGAAGAGTTTGTAAGACAAATTCTTCAAAGGATGCCTGAAATCCATTAACTTCTTTGCACAGATATACCATAGTTATTCCCTTTCCTCGAACACACAGGCAAAGCCTCCCTCTGCCATGCTGAGGAGGCAGGATTTATCTGCTTTCCCAGCTCTGTTTCCCAATGTTTCATTATTTTGCTATCTGTGAGGAAGGCTAGAGCAAGACACCAGATATAAAGACATGCTCAGAACAATAGTAATTTTGACCCAATCATTTTGATTATTAACTACAATCAGAAATTCCAGACAAGTAATTTAAAACACCTATTCAGGAGCTCTACATAATGATGAAATATAAAGGACTGATTGCCTTTCCACCTCTGTGATTACCAATTATTTCCATTTCAAATAATTCAAAAATGCACTTAACTAGGAATGAGAGGGAGAAGAAAGAGATGAAGCGAGCTAAAACCTGTATAAAATGTGTAGACAAATGGACTTTGCAAACCAAACAGAGAGCTTAGGGTTAGGTTCCATATAATAAAAAAAATGCTATCTGTAGATAATAGCATGCTAACAAAGCTGAGATGAGTGAACCCTCTGGGAAATCACCTAGAAAACAGAACTGTAGCAGCAGTTAAAATTCACTCATTTGCTGCTGGTGAAATGATGACCAATAAATGACTCAAACTAAACTGACATAAACCCTTGAAACTCAAGGATAAGGTTACAAATTTTTAAAGAAACTACAATTTTTTAAAGAAATTAATATTTGTAGTGATATACTAGAATCCCATTTAAGCACAAAAGAACTTATACCAACACTCTTCTTTCTTTCCTCACAAAGAATTTTTTTTTTTAAATGTGTCTTTGGCAGGCACAAAGACAACAAACTCTGAGAAGTTTTTATTTTACAGAATTTATAACTTTGAGATCCTGTGCAGTCACCAACAAATGGAAGGGATTTTTTAGAGGCAAAGAAGGTGAAGAAGGTGTCACAGAGGATTTGATACATACCCTGAGCTAAGTTCAAGCCTTTATACAACAAAGTATCGATACATGCTTTCATGCAACAAACTCTGACAGCCAAATGTCAGACTTTATTCCACTGAAATCTTACCTTATGTGCAGTTTCTGCAAACTGCTGAGCACTGTTTTTCAGCTCCTCTGTCTTTTCTTCTGCACGACCTAGCCTTTCACCACGCTCATTCAAGGCCTGACTTGCCTTCTGTACTGCGCTTGTCACACTGTCTGCTGCTGAATGGAGTATGCTGTTTCCTGTTAACCAAAAGAAGCTGTTAGAGTACTCACGTATATATATATGCTTTGGAATAAATACAATTAATTTAATTTATAATGTTCTAGAGCTGGTTTGCTATCTGGACTGGCCTCACTTCACTATAATCTCTCTTGAGGTGGTTGTAGAGAGCGACAAAATCTCCCCTGAGCCTCCTCAAGACTAAACAATCCCAGCTCTCTCAATCCCAGCTGTTCCTCAAAAGACAAGTTCCCTAGACCTCTCAGAGCCTTGCTGCCCTTCACTGGACACACTCCAGTACTTCAATGCCCTTTTTAAAGGGAGGGGCCCAAAAGTGAATGCGGCACTCGAGGTGTGGCCTCACCAGTGCTGATGCAGAGGGATTGTCACTTCCCTGGTCCTGCTGGCCACAGGATTGCTGACACAGGCCAAGATGCCACTGGCCTTCTTGGCCACCTGGGCCCAGACTGGCTCACCCTGAGCCTGCTGTTGGCCAGCACCCCCAGGCCCCTTTCTGCTGGACAGCCACTCTTGCCCCAGCCTGCAGCACTGCCTGGGACTGCTGCGACCCAAGTGCAGGACCTGGCACTTGGCCCTGGTGAGCCTCTTGCCTTGTCCTTAGCCCACTGACTGAGTCTGTCCAGATCCCTCTGTAGAGCCTTCCTTCCCTCGAGAAATGAACACTCCCACCCATCTTAGTATCACTGTAAATCTACTGAGGGTGCCCTCAATCCCTAGATCCAGATCATCAATAAAGATGTTAAACAGAATTGGTGCCAAAACAGAGCCCTGGAGAACACTGCTAGCGATGGGTCGCCAACTGGATTTAGTTCCATTCACTACAACTCTCTAGGCCTGGACATCCCCCCACATTTTTATTCATTGATGAGTCAACCCATCCAAGCCACAAGCAGCCAGCTGATCTAGAAGGATGCTGTGGTAGACTTTAGTGAGTCTAGATAAACAACATCCACAGCTTTCTCTTCATCTACAGAACAGGTCACTTTGCCATCAGGGGAGTCACGCAGCACCTTCCTCTCATAAATCCATGTTGGTTGGACTTGATCCCCTGGTTGTCCTGGCTGTCGTCATTTTTTCCACAGCATTAAAACCAACTACATAATGCTCTTAAATGAATTATTCTGGTAAAGATATGAAACAAACTCAACAGTCAAAGCAAGTACTACAGCAAATCTGCTGTTAAACTATGTTGTTCTTACTAGCATACGAAGACAAGTGGAAACAGACACTGCTTTTATCATTAATCTGAGGAAGTGTGTACCTACTTTAAAAATATTCTCGGGTTAAAAAATCAAACTCAAACATTAATTTAAAGGGCTACTTTGCTACTAGTTTGTTGTAGTTTAGCCCCAGCCAGCAACCAAGAACCACACAGCCCCTTTCTCTCTCTCCCACCAGCAGGACTGGGGAGAGACTAGAAAGGTAAAAATTAGAAAACGGATGTGGTGAGATACAGACAGTTTAATAGAGAAAGCAAAAGCTAAGCACTAACGTAAAGAAAAACAAGGAATTAATTCACTCCTTGCCATGGGCAGGCAGGGGTTCAGCCATTTCCAGGAGAGCAGGCACCCATCCCACAGTAACAGTTCCTCATGAAAACGAACATGATTACACCAAACTTCCTCCCCTACCTCCTTCTTCCTCTCACTTTATGCACTGAGTGTGATGTCATATGGTCTGGAATATCCCTTTTGTCAGCTGTCCAAGCTGTGTCTCCTCCTCCCAACCTCCCAACTTCCTCACCAGCATGGCCAGTACAAAAAGCAGAAAAGGCCTTGGTTCTGTGCAAGCCCAGCTCAGCAATAACAAAAACATCTCCATATTATCAACCCCATGTTCAGCACAAATCTATCACATTGCCCCATATCAGCCACTGTGAAAAAAATTCACATATCTGAAATCAGCTCACAGTTTCATTAGAAAAAATAAGACCAAACAATCCTTTCAGACTTCAGTTTTCAAATAGTAATCCTTCCCTTAGAAAGTCCAAACAAACAATGAACAGTGAAACTAAAGGCTGACCTAGGTAGCCTGTGAAGCACGGTACTAGCTGAATATGCAGGAATTCCTGATATAAAGAAAACTGTCTTACAATTTAAGCTAAAAGTCAACTAGTATTAAACTATGGAGGTGAGGGAGAGACTTAAGAACCTACACAAAGTGACTCACAGATGATGAGTCAATATGAGAAATACCCATGAAAGAACATCCTGGCCTCCTAAATACCAATATTGTTACATTTTGCACATCAGGAGTTGAAAATAAAAAAAAAAAAGTAGATGTGGAACTGCTACATGTTTGGGGTTTTTTCCTACTGTTGTATTTAGAAAAGGAATATAATAGCTGGCATTCTTGTTAAAGAGATTAGTATCTAACAATACTGTGAGCTGGAACTTTGCAGAGACAGAAATTAATCTTTTCAAGTGATCTCCCTTCAGACACTGAGGAGTTTGATTGTAAAACCAAACAACTTCAACTTTACATCCTGCACACTTTCTTACTTTGAAACTTTTCAATCAAATGCTATTTTGTTCATAATTTTTTAAGGAGATAATTTTGGCTTCTGTTCAGGCAGCTTTTCCAATAAACACATGTACTGGAGCAGCACTGCACTGGAAATAGTTTTCCTTTTTTGGTGGTGTGATCTAATGGCTTTGGCCTCTTGTATAGTGTTAGTTCTCTAGGACAAGAGTTTTAAAAGCTCCCAACACTGAATTAAATCTGTTTTTCACAAGATCACAAAGCCTCTGCTGAATTCAAGGAAAGCAGGCTACATGGATAAACTTATAAAACTAAGCATCTTCTGAAGTCTTAAAATGTGTTGCGGAGCAGAATTTAACATATTGCTGACCTTCTGTCATGTCAACAGGAAACTACAGAACAAAAATATTTTTCATTTTCTATACTCCCAAAAATATTCCTTATTTTCTATACTCCTAAAACTATTTGTAGATTTGTGGCCAAAGACTGGTATCTATTACTCCACATTATTTTCAGCAAAGAAGAATGAACTTGAAAGTTTGGCACAGTGACAGTAAGTGTTTTTCCCTCTAGCTAACACAATATTGTGTTCTCTCCAGGTAAGATCTGCTGTATTTTCTCATGAGCAGTGATTTGCAGAGAAGCTGCTATTCTGAGACTGTTCCTAAGAACTACTTCTGGAGTATCCTTACCAATGGTATGTCAGTAAAACAATAAAAAAAATCTGCTCTCAACTATGAACAACTCAGAAACCCACATCTCAGTAGTGTATGGAATTTCATCAGTGTATTTCTAGAGCACGTGTAGGTGGTTGCTGGTATGACTGACTATACCTCATCCCTGTATTAGTATCACTGCAGGAACAGCAATACTTGCACTGGATGTGTCGGAAAATCATTCATATGAATAAATAATCTACAACCTGCAAAACTTTTAAGCTGTTCTTTAGGAGGTAACTACTTTGATTTAAAATATCCTGAGAGACGTTTTCCATGTTAATGGATTCCTTTAGGATTTCAGTAAAGCTTCTCATACTGTCTTTCACAGTATCCTTCTAGACAAAATGTCCAGCACACAGCTGGATAAACACATCTTGTGATGGGTGAGCAACTGGCTCATGGCTCAGGTGCAAAGGGTTACACTGAATGGGGTGACATCAGGCTGGTGATCTGTCTGGGGTTCTGCAGGGCCCAATTTTCAACATCTTCAAAACGAACTTGGATGCAGGAATCAGATAGATGTATAACAGGTTTTCAGACAATACTAAATTGGGAGGAGTTGTTGACTCCCATCACAGCAGAGAGGCCCTGCAGAAAGACCTTGACAAATTAGAGGGCCGTGTAATCACCAGCTGCAGGAAGTTCAACAAAGGAAAGTGCTGGATTCTGCACTTGGGATGGGGTAACCCTAGATTTATGTACAGACTGAGGAACAAGATGCTGGAGAGTAGTACCATGGTCAAAGTCAAGTTGAATCTGAGTCAGCAGTGCCCCGGCAGCGAGGAGGGCCAACCCTGTCCTGGGGTTCATCAGGCACAGCATCACCAGCCAGGCAAGGGAGGGGACTGTCCCACTCTGCACACCTCGAGTCCTGTGTGCAGTTTTCGGCACCACAACACTTAAAGAATGTAAATCCATTGGAGAGTGTCCAAAGAAGGACTACAAAGGTGGTGAAGGATCTAGAGCAGAAGCCATATGAGGAGTGGTTGAGGTCACCTGGCTAGTTCAGCCTGAAGGAGACTGAGAGCAGAACTCACAGCAGTCTACAACTTCTCCTGAGGTGAAGAGGAGGGGCAGGCACGGACCTCTTCAGTTTATTTTGGATATTAGAAAAAGGTTTTTTACCCAGAGGGTGTTTGGGCACTGGAACAGGCTCCCCCAGGCAGTGGTCACAGCACCAACCTGACAGAGCTCAAGCAGCATTTGGACAGTGCTCTCAGGCACATTGTGTGACTCCTGGGGCGTCCTGTGCAGAGCCAGGAGCTGGACTTTGATGACCCCCATAGGTCCCTTCCAACTCAGGATATTCTACAATTCAAGCTGTATCAAGAAGCTCTTACACCCCCAAGGACTTTTATCATGCACAATGAAAAATACATCCTTTAGCCACCATATCCAATACCTGAAAGATACAGGAATACTGTCATAATAAAGTATGCGAGGAAACTAACTGGTCTCTAGAGATATCATTATTTAGATTGCATCATTTGTTTTATCACACATTCATAAAAGGTTCATTGCATTCTCTATTAGCCATATCAAATACATTTCAGCTCAATGCAGAGATTTATCTTTAAATTAGTGATCAGACTCTACAGTGACTGATTTGCAAACACGAGTATTCAATTTTAATTGTACATGCATTAATAAAACATTTAGCAACTACCTACTTCTGAGAAGGAAATAAATGCATTTAGCTTTGATTATTTGTAATTATTATTCTTGCTGTTACTGTTCATTTTCTTAATGTTGTTTTCAGTAATTTTTTCTTATCTCAACCCCTAATCTTTGCCTTTTGT